TTGCTAGTATAAAGTATTCATAACGTTATGATCATACCGTATTGAATTTTGGGGATCAAACAAAATCAGCGCATATGCATTGAAAAAGATAACTTTGTTATGGTGACACCAGTTCTTCTCATGGTGTTCTATATCTATTTCATGAATAATAATATCTCGATCCAGGCCTACTCTATTCTTCAACATAATTAATTTTTTGTTTCCAATCAAATTCAAATGTAATTCATGATGGTGGTGTGTTGTTAATGAACATTATATTTTTTAAGGCTGGATTTTCTTTCAATGTGAAGTATATCACTTCTGATTAATTTCATTACAAAATTAGTATGGTTGGGCTCGCTCCTATTGCTGCGCCGCGCGCCAAATTTCAAAAATTGCGATTTTGTGATTCGTTCAAAAAATTTTTCAAAAAAGTATTCACGTGACTTTGGTTAAAAAAAACTATTTCCTGTCAAATTTAGATATGATTGACGAGTAGTTAGTCTAAATTTAGTAATGATAAGCTAAAACTAGTCTAAATTTAGTAATGATCCTAGCGCTAAGTTCCTCATGAGCATAGTAAAGTACATGTTTTACAAAAGGATAGAACTCTACAACAAATAAATTTTTTGAGAAAATCTCTCTATTACATTAAAATTAAAGACCTATTCTATCAACTAATAGAGTTATTTTTTTAAAAGGTGGGACAGAAGATGACTTCTATACTTTTAAAATTTGCACAAAATTTAGGAGGTCTTTAGACCAAGCCAACTATATTATAGATTAAAGATGCGATCAAAGACAATTTATTTTTAAGGCAACGTCATATATAATATTTGGATAGAACATTCAGACGCACTAGTTAACTTAGTGTAACTTGAAGATTATATTAAATAACTCAAATAAATGTTTATTAAATTAATAAAAAAATTAATGTATTGTTATGATTATAAGAATCATTCCATAAATATAATTTCAATGACTCTTTTTTTTTTTTTGTTAGATTTTCCCAAAATATTTGCATGTCCAAAGGGTTAAAGAATATGTACATTATTGTATAATTATTTATGCTGTTACTGTTTTTGCGTCTAATAGTCTCTCAAATTCGATGTAAGAAATATATATATATTGGCATAAGTAATTATACTAGATTGCAATGTTGGAAATGATGATGGATGGAATTTATGATGATGATTTTGGAGGTTGCACCATAAGTGAAGATGCATGCGTGATTTATGAACCTTAATTACAAATAGTTTAAAATATCTTTTTTATTGATAAACCATTTAAAATATTCGTAAACTGACCAACAAATAGCAGTTGATGGCATATGAGACAACACACGTGGTCTTAATCCTCTGAAAAACCCTTTTAGTTCATTTCGTTCATAAATAATTTTAAATGCTCCAAATAATCCATTGCAATTTCTTATTTTTAAATCATTTGTGTTGCCTCGTGTTTGTAATAGAGTTTTTGCGACATCTAAAGGTGTTGTTGCAGCTGCTGCAATTGCCCCTGCCAATCCACCAGCCATAACATGAGTCTTTGGATCATATTGACCACTGGGATTTAACACTTTACGAAAATATTCATATGAACTGAATTGAAAGACTTGAAATGGTATTGTCATTGAAAGTGTTGTTGGGTATGATACATAAAATGCTATTAATCCCTCTCTTGAATAAACTGTCTTAGCACAATCAACTACATTACGGTATACTGATCCATGAACTTGCATTCTTTGTTTAATAACTATAAAGAAAAATATGTTAAAAATATTATCATTTTTAAAAATATATAGTATATAATAATATATTTATTTACCATCAAATGGATTCATCAATGTTCCTTTTCTATTCTTTTATTAATTAACATTGCCAAAGAAATCATACTTCTTGTCATAGTTCCTAAATCCTCTAGCTAAAAGTTCATATTCATCAACAGATTCATAATATTCTAGATTGTAAAAATTATCTTCATTTATACTTTGTGGAGATTGTTACTTAGCAGCTCCTTGTTATCAGTATTGATATCACTTCATCAACCATCAATTAGTGTGTTTTCATCTTCATTACTATTAACTGCAGTGATGACAAATGACCATCAAATGGTTAGGTCATTGATGGTCATTTGATGGTCATTAAGGTCATTTGGGTTGGTCATTTAAATAAACCAATAAAATTTTACCAAAAAATTATATTTATGCATATGGATTATGGGTATCAACCATCTTGAAAAAAGATGGAACAATCACTTTTACTTTTATCATTGGTCCTTCATTCATAATAGAGAATTTCATTTTAAAAATAATATAAACAATCTTTCATGTACTTATTTTAATCAGTGGATTAATTATTTTTATCAGACTTGATTTGGAGCACCACCAATCAGAATTTTGTGTGAATATTTATTGTATCAAAAAAAAGCTTATACTTTTGATATGAGAACATTTAGTCAACTTGATTGTGAAGTAGTTGATTTTGAGATTTAGCAAAAAGTGAAGCACCTGTGTTATGAAGATTATTCTTCACCTGCATGAAATTTGTATAAATACTGCCTTTATTGAAAGATTCTGATCCAATATGGGTTTTATACATTCAAAAAAAGGGAATTGTCTTTATTTATGTAAAAAAAAAAATAGTTTTCAACTTTAAGTTTTATTACAAAATGATTAATTAATAAAAATTAAAATCTATTTATTAAAAGCATGAAAAGTTCCTGGAATGTGTCAATTGAGGAGTGAATTATTTCAAAAGAAAAAATAGTCGAAATTAAAAAATATGGAAACCTTTATAAAAGAAATCACATTGCAATTCCCATAATCAAGAATCTGTTGGTGATGACAATGAAGATGAACTGCTTGATGCAAATGAAGTAACTAATGATATGACACTCAGAGATGATAATATCGAAAATAATGACTGAACATTAGCATCTTTTGAAGGAGAAGAGGATTTAGATGCCTTTGAAGAAGGAACTGATAATTCTATTAACAGAACTGAAGATTGGATAGAACTTATTCAAAATTGATTGATAATGAAGATATTTCTGACCCTTTAGAATTTATATCTGTAGATCATACTATACATCCTGCTGATGATCCAATTGCCTAATAAAGTCTGTGTAGTATTTTTTAATGATAATTTAGAATACCTGATTTTGTAAATTCATTTGATTAAATGTTAAAATTTGAATTTAAAATTAAAC